CTGTTTTCTGCCCTCCTCCAGGAACCAGAAAGACTTCCTTGAATTTCTGTGTGTGTCCTGGAGCTTCATGGATTAAGGATGATCCTAGCCAGGCCAAGTGACTTGAGATCCTGATTCCATCCATTAGTAACAACATGACCTTAAATAACTTATTTAGCTCCCCCTTTTCCTCCATTTTGCCAACTGGTAGGGTTGCTTTATGAATTAAATGATGAGCACACACGAAACATTCAGGAGAGTGCCTGACACCAGGCCAGAGATCAGTCACAGGAGCAGAAACTTCTCTGGATTCTACTTTTCTTTTCCCTCACTGTATGGAACATCCACTCCCCATTTCTCACTTCTCTTATGGACTATAGGGAAAGAAGCCAGCCACAGACATACAAAAGGGCACCCTGCCATATTTCTAATCATCCTATTACAGTTAGTATACCCACTCCAGCTTTGAACCTGTCATAGGAACCATCTGGTTGCTTTGAGGTGTCTTCCAATACCTCCACTCAGGTGAAGGACGGGTATTCAGAAGGTGCATATCCCTGTATCCCTATAACCTCATAGTTGCTCCAGTGTTCTGTCTACAGGATCTTCTAGTCTGTGCTATCCAATAGGCACCTTTGAACTTCTCCCAATGTGTCAGAAATCCCCCCCAAAGATCTGAGGCAACCCATCAAGGCACCTTTCTATCACATCAGTCCAGGGCCTCAACCTCTGGGGAGCCCTGCAGCCTTTTCTCTGGATTTTGCTGCAGGCTTTGAAATGATCTGCATTGCAAATCTTTCCAGGAAATCTCTGTCTTAAATCTTACATTTTATTTTATTTATAACCCATTCCACTTTAGAAGATTTAAGTTGGTTTACGAGGATTATGTAAAATACTTTAAGATATATGAAGTAAACAAGTAAAAAACCCTATATTTTATGTTGCTAAATTTGAAAAAAAAGTTACCAAACATTGTATAATGTGGTCAAATTTTTCTCTGACTATTGTGCATTTGTGTGTGTGAACACATATATGTGTTGTATAATTCATGTTTAGCAGAGGCAGGTAAACTGAACACAAAATGGGGGTTATAATTTTCTTCATTTTCTTCCTTACTATATACTTTTGTGTGTTTTCTTAACTTTTTATAGTGAATGTATATTTGTTTCAGAATAGGGGGAAAAAAGATAAAAAATATCTCTAAAGAAAAATAGTCAAGAAAGAAACAGCCCAACCATGAGCAAAGACAAAAATTGGAGCCCATGGTGAGGCTGAAACAACTCATTTCCTATGGCCAAGCCACACGTTTAAAGCTCAGCTTTCTACCAGTCAAAGGATGAGGAAAATCTGATCAGTTACAGAGGTCACAGGGTCCACAGGACAGAAACAGAATGATTGCTCAGAAAAGCCTGGCTGTTCCTGATATGGAACCCTAAAGCAAATGCCTCCCATGGGGCCGCAGGCTGTGTAATGCAATGAATGCTGCCAACAACACCCTCACAGTAAACACCACTGCGAGATTCATGGGCCGCTGGGTGCAGGAAGATGGCGTGCCGCCCAAGTGCAGCACAGTGAAAGCAATTCCTCAGGGAGTGGAATCCATGTGGCCAGGTTCACGGTGGGTCTGACCTAATCCAGAGAGAGACCAGAGCATCAGGATGAGGACACAGATCACCTTTCCGGGAGACTCCTTCTCCCACAGAATTCCTCCTAGGCTCAGCTCAGCTCAGCCAGTCCCCTAGGTCATCAGGAAAATCCAGTGGCTGCATCACTGACTCATCCAGACATGTGTTCATCTCACACACACTCAGGGAACCTACTACACCAGGCACTGTGCACGCCTGTCACAGCCCCTGCTCCATCACACACCTGGAGCCCCAAGCCAGCCCCACCCAACATCATCTCAGGGCTGGAAGCAAAGCCAATGCCATTCTTGTTGATGGCAGCCCCAATTAATCTCTAGGATAAGACATGTGCACTGCTCACACACCAACAGAGCTCAGAGTTGGTAGAAGCCAAGTGGGTCAAAGGAGTCTAAGGCTAAGCATGGACTTCTGGGAAGGACTCCAAGGGAGATGGGCTGAGGAGAAGATGCTGCCAAAGATGCAATGTTGCTCCTATGTGGAATGTGTCTTGTTTTCGCCCCTGCTTTACATTTAGGTAGAGGGGACCAGAGTCTTCTATTTATTTCAAAATGTTCCCTTGTATTTTTCCCCATGGGGTGGATCCAAGAATGTTGCTGGGCCACAGTGCATCCAATGGCAGGCACCTAGGGTTATTAATTTCCATCCAATGGAACAGGATTCCATTCCAATCCCAATCACAATCTCCTCCATGCCCCAGACTCACATATCAAGTTTCCTTCTCAGCATTCACTTGGAAGCCTCACAGGCATCTCAAAGTCAGCATGGTCATGTCTCAAACATGGTAATCTAATCCTTTGTCATTTCAACAGGTGGCACCACCCATCTCCCTTTCCCCGACTTCCCAAGGCCAACCTATTACCAGTATGCTGATTTTATCACTAAAACATGTCTGCCATTTCTCTCCACCTCTAGCTGCACAATGAGAGGCACACCTCATTGCCCCACACAAACTGGACAGTCTTCAGGGTGCTCTCTGGCTTTCTCAGTGGTGACCCAGGGACAGCTGAGCACCACATTACCCGGGACCACCAGCACCCACTTCTCAGAACCCTCACAAGTATTCTCCTCCTCTGAGTTCTGACAACACCATTCCTCTAAGTGACTAGGCCTTTCTCTTCCTCTCCTTGTTCTTATTTCTTCTCTCACTTGTCTTTTCATCTTCTATTCTGCTTCTTTCTCTTCCACTTCTCCTTGGCCTTATCTATTTCTTTTTTCTCTCTCTCTTTCTCTGTCCCCATTCCCCACACCCGGCTCCACTTTCTTCCTCTTTCTCAGATGTGACAGTCATAGAAACTCAGAGTTGGCAGAGACCTCACTGCCCTGGTGTGCAAAGTGGGGCTGGAGGTTCAGAGTGCCAAAGTGACTCACCTACACTCTCACAGCAGACAGCAGCAGGGTTAGCACACTCCCCTCCACTCACACCTCATTATTTCCCTACCTTTCCTTGTCTCCTGTCCCTTATCCCACAACCATGGCCCTGTGTTAGCTAAAGACAGGGCTGGTCACACTTTGTGTAATACCGGTCAAAGATCAGGGTGGCTAGATTTCCATCTGCCTGACTCTCCCTGACCCTCTCTATCTGTCTCTTACACACACACACACACACACACACACACACACACACACACACACAAACACCCTGCATTTATTACATACCTATAAACATCTGCCCCAAAGGCTCAGAAGAGAGTATCTACCCCAGTGGCCACTGAGGCCTTCCATTCTCCTCCTGATGAGGCCGAGGCAGATTGTTGTATCTGGACATACCTACAAAAATCCTCTTTAAAACCTCATCATTCACCACAAAGGATTTCCTGGAATGCCATGAAGAAGGTGCCTGAGGAGATGGGGTGGGCAGGGGTAAATGCCTGACTTCATGCCCTTCTCTCCTGCAGACCCAGATGGTCTTGGCACAAGAAGGCTGCAGAAATCAAATAAAATCTTCAGAACCCATCCAGATTTAACAGCTCCATCTGTGAAAATGTGGCTTGTTGGGGTGGGAGTGGTGGGGGTGCACTGTTGCTACAGACTGAGGGTCCAGGCAGCAAGCCAGCATGGTGGGGCAGCTGGAAGGAAGGGATCATGGAAGTAGACAGTGGTGAGAGGTAGGGGCCAGCAATGGCAGCAGCTGGTGGTGTACCTTCCTGTGGTGCCCACCTAAGTGTATAGAAACACACCTCTAAGGTGGGTTGAGTACATAGCCAACTGCCCAGAGGGAGATGAGGCACATAATCTGAACTTGGACAGACCTGTAGCCCTAAGTTTCTGCAGAAAATCCACCTTTGGGCAGAGGTTCAAGACAGACATGAAACAAAAGAGGACACATTATGACCCCAAGTTTGTCCTAAGGTCTATAGAAGTGCACCAGGCCTCCAGGGGCTGGTAGAAATAAAAGACAGCCCTGCCAATCCAAGCATGGACAGAGCTACAATAGGTAAAAGGAGTACAATTTTTTCCAGACTGTCAAGATTTTGCACCGTTTTACAATCTCCAGCCAACATAATTCATTAAATGCATAACAAAGGGTGAGGGTTGATATTTATGTCTTCTTTTATAAGACTTAACATGTGAACAAACCTCAAACCTAAAAAAATACAAAAAATTCTTCCTTGTCGGGCAGTGAGAAGTGGCCACTGAGTGCATGGAGCAGGGGATCAAAGGCAAGAGAGCTCTCTTCTGCCCCATGAGAAACTAGCAATAACCAGGGATCGAGGATGCAGAAGCCAAGATAGCCTGTGTGTCCCTCCCATGTGGGCAAATACAGATGTCGCAGTGTGCAAAGGTGACTACAGAAGGCAGCAGACTTGCAGCTGGAGAAGGTAGAGGCAGTGAGGGAGGATGACAGGGAAGAAAGGCTGGGGGGTACAGGGTCCATGAGGCAAAAGAACAGCAAGCAGAAGAAGCGGAAACAGAAATACAGACAGCAGAGACTGGAACAAAAGGTTCTGGGGACCTGGGAGGAAAGGCCTGTGAAGCTCTGACAGTGAAAGAGAGCCACAAAATAAGTCTCTCCAGAGACCTAACCACCTTACACCTGTTCCTGAGAAGCTGGTGTCACATGAAGGAGACAGGAGCATCCTACTGTCTCTGCCTCCCTACAGCCTGGATTCCTCCAGACAAGGCCTGCAGGCCCTGGGAAACCCAACCCCTTTTTCTTTTCTGATCCCAGTCAGACACTGGAGAGACCCAGAACCAGCACCACTCCTCCAAAACACACTCAGATCTTCAGCCCTGGAGGAAACAGGGCAGTGATCCAACAGGGAAGACGGGAGAAAATGCTGCTGCTGGTCCAGGCTGGTAGCCAAAGACCCACCCTTCCATTGTGATGCAATTTCCCTTCCAGCTGCCTCTGCAGTCCTCTGACCCCTTGGGAAAGCAGATAAACACCTTCCTGGCTCTTCACCAACATCCTAGAGGATCTGCTCCAGCTGATCCTGCTCCACAGAGAGACTGTCTGCATCTGCCTCTGTCCTCTGAGTACCTGCCACTGCCCCAAGGAATGGAGAGTGGGGTGGGTAATGATAGGAAGCCAAGAATCACAGCCAGTGTGGAAAGAGGCAGTGCTGTTGCTCCTCTTTGTCAGGCACATGTACCCAAAGCCCTCTGGGGTTGGCATGAGCATCCTGCACCAGGATTTCCAAGTCATCCCCAGGCCACCTAAAGCCCCTCTCAAAGCCTCCCAGCCTCATGTATGTCCAGCTCCACCAAGTCTCCCCAGGAGCCAAGGTGGAGGACACCCTTCTCTCTGAGACAAGTTTTCAGCTGGGTTGGGCATGGTGCAGTACCCCAGGCTGATTCAGCCACAACACAGGCAAGATCTGAGGTGCCTAGGTATGCAACATCTCCCTCCCAGAATCTCCTGGCTGCTTTGATGTGGAACAGAGATGACAATGGCAGTAACTGGTGAGGAATGAGCTTTAACACTGATGTTTTAAATGACAGCCATTGTTCCCTGACAATTTTATGATCGAAGAAAAGAAAGAGGCCTTTTAAGAAACCATGTAGCATATTTAAGAAGCCCCAGAGGACTGGGGAAGGGGCTCCAAAGAGGAGAAACGCAGAATGAAGAGTGAAGCAACTCCAAAGAGGAGGCAGCTCAATGCTGGTGTCTGCAACCCTGTCCCTTCCTCGAAGCACAGTTCATCAAAAGCAGTTTCTCAACATAGCCAAGAGACTCCTCAGGGTTTCACCCAAAGGCCAGGCTATCTGATGCTGGGTGACATGCAAGGCTGGACCCAACAGACTTAACAAGTGGGTGGTGGTCCACTTCCCCACAGCAGACTAGAGGAAGCAAATCCTTCTCCCTGCCTTTTCCTCTCCTCTTCCCCCTCCCACACTTCCTACTTCTCCCATCCTCAGCTAAAATGGGGTAATGGACCTGAACAATAGGTATTTCTGGTGTGCTCTATGCTGGGTTGCAGCTCAGGGAGGAAGCCACAGAGGCCTGGCCCCACACTGTCCTGCTGGTATGAAGAATTTATGATCCCTGATCCCCTTGCTCTGCACTTAAGCTCCTCCTACATTCTTGTAGTATCAGGAAAAGCATTTCCTCACACACCATCTCTCTCTAGGGTTAGAGAAAGAGATCCCCATCTCCAACTCTGGGCTCCATCTGCAGGGCCATCTCCATGTCACCTGGAAATGCTCCTAAGCTAATTCTTTGTGGCTAGCTGCCCTCCTTACTTCCCATTTCCTGCTCTGGCCCCTCCACCTTCCAGGGGCCTCATACTGTTCTCCTGAGGTTTTTCTTCTCCTGGAAAAGCCTCTCCTCTATGAAGTCTCCCTGTCTCTTTCTTAGCAGTCTTTCTTCAGGCTAATCCAGTTGTTTACAAAGTGTGCTCTCAGTTCCAGCACCACTAGCTAGTATCAAATGGGAAATTGTGAGAAACACAATTCTTTGGGCTCCACCCAAAAGCAGTTCAATCAGAAACTCCAGGGAGGGGAACAAGAGTCATGTGTCATCAAGCCCATCAGGTGATGCTCAGGCTAAAGTTGTGAGAACTGCTGGTTCTCAATTCTAGTGGGTGCTGATGCTGCACATCTAGATCCCAAACTGTCAGAACCACCGTTCTAAACTTCTGGTGTGCTTCTGTCCCCCACTGCTCATTTGACACTCACACATCTTGCCTTATGAGGAGATGTGATCTCCACAGGGCATAAGTGAATCCTGCCTCTACTGGCATCGACAGAGCACCTTGCAGATAGTCAACATATATTCCTTGTATTAGATCAAAAAAAGTAAAATTCTATAACGTCTAGGTGCAGTTCTACCATTAAAGGGACAACCTCCAGTCACCAAAGTACTTTTGAGGCCTTTTGCATTCTCAATGTTAAATTAACTACATGCAACCTCGTGAGCTGTGTGTCATGGAGTAGTTTCCTGGCCTTCTTAGCATCTGCTGCCTCTAGGTTGCAGAGCACCAGCCAATCACAGCCAGGAGGGAACGTGTCACCCTCACAGTCTCTAGCACCATTATTGTACCAGCAGCATAATGGTAAGGAAACATTATTTCTATTTTAAATTGTCATTATTAATCTAATGCTTGCAATGAACGGAGTGGTGATGATAAATGGGATCTTTAATAAAGATGAAGGCTCCACAGCCTAAGGGGGGAAAAAAACCTCTTTTACTTAAAGTTACTGTCTTGATTAAAATTTCCATTTTGTTATCCTAATCAGCTATCCTTGTTCAGCGTGCTGAAGTTTCTATTTTCTCTACTTAGATAGACAATTAACAACACTATAAACATATTAAAAGTAAAATGTTTATTAAAACTGCTCCGTTCTCCATATTTAACTTACTTTCAGTGAGGCTGCATCAGGACACACCCATGCCTCTAGAAAGACTTCACAGAATGAACCTACTTCTTTCTTCTGGGAGCCTCATCCTGATTCCAAGTCCCCTGGGAACAGACCACCCTTCCATCCCAGACACACCTTCCTTTGTTCAACGCTCCTGTTAATTTCATCCAGCTGCATTTCATTTCATTCAATCGGACATCTCTACTCGGAGCATAAAACTCACTCTTCCCCATTATAAGTGTGGTTGGGATGGACATGGGTCACAGATGGGAAACTACATGGAGGCACGGGAGAATACAAAAGATGTTCCCAAATAAGTCACACTCACATCTCTCTTGGATGTGAAAAATTCACTTAATTAAAATTACTTAATGAGTAAATAGTTATTAAGGGCACAGTATGTGGGAGGAAACCACAGCACCACAGAATCTAGGAACTGACTCCGGGCACAGGACATTAGGTTTGGAGCCACAGTGAGAAGATTAAGTCTAGGGCTGGGGATTTAGCTCAGTGGTTCTGCTGCCTGGCTCGCAAGCACAAGGACCCGAATTCGATCCCGGTACAAAAAAAAAAAGATTAAGTCTAATTATTTTTTAACACAACACTAATCCTTATCCAAACATGGAATCTGTCTCCCCTGGGATGTCTGTCCCCTGAAACATGGAATACTGGAGCCAGGTGGAAACACCCCAGGTCACCCCAGGACACTCCTGAGGGAGCATCCTGCCCAAGGTCTTCAGGTTTCCATCTCCTGTCTTTTTGGCCTTCTCATCATGGGGCAGACCAGCATCACCACTTTGTTTTGTTCTCTAAACGAAGCTGACTGGACACCATGAGTTATCCTCCTGACAGCCACCAGGAGTCCAGAGGGTTCTGTGTGGCCACCAGCCTTGCAGCCCTCATTTACTCCTCCCCCAAGACCTAGGCAGAGTTCACAGGGTTTACAGAGTTTACAGACCTAGGCACATTTTACAGATGAGGAAACTGAGGCTCAGAGCCGTTAAGTATGTTGTGCCACATCAACAGGTGATAACCTAGTGGTAGTCCCTGTTCTGGATGACAAAGGGAAGTCCCTGCTCTAGAACATATCTCAGGCCACAAGATGAGGGGTCACATCTGAAGAAGGAGGTCCAACCATGCCTTGCCTTGCGCTGCTGCTGCTGCTGCTGCTGCTGCCAGTGCTGCTGCTACCACTGCCGCTACTGCCAGAAGTTCCATGGACAGCCTCTCTGTGTGAGGCGTTTCTTTCCATGAGGTACTCTTTAAGCTGGAGCACCTCTGAGTATCATAGTGCGCTCCACAGGCATCAAACGGCACATGCCCTGTGGCCCCTTCAAAAAGAACACATACTGGAGTTGAGGACACTTAGGGAAATGGGGGAAAGAGCAATGCACACAGGCCCAGGGGTAAGGGCTATTCATCTCCCGCCACCAAAGGAAATGAAATCATTATGTCTGCAGCTACAGAATCCAAAAGAACAAATTTCCTGCCAGGATAATAAATGGATTCTTTTGTTTTAGCCTTGACTCTCATCACATGACCCTCCCAGCCATTCCTCATCCAGGTAACTCTGGGTAAATACCCGGAGGTTTTAATTTCAACCCTGAGAATGAATTGGGGGAAGGGGTGTCTGCCAGAGCCCTGGACTCCTTGCTCTGCCCTATCCTACCCCTACATATTTTCTTTCCCTAACAGTTCCTGCAAAAGTGAGTAGAGCTCCTCTTCCTTTCCCCGCTCTCTGCAAAGACTCATAAAGAGGACCCCATTCCCCGTGCTCGGCCAGGAGCAGCTTTTGAAGTAAGTCCATGGAGAACATAGAGGAAAGCCATTTTACTACTGAACAGGCATCACACAAGATGTACTTTGGAAGCAATAATGAATAGTAAATATGGGCTATAAAGTTCCCAGGGCTGGCAGAGGAGCACCAGGGCAATGGTCCCATTGATGTGCGTGGAGGGACCCATGCAGGGGTTGGGAGGCATGGCGAAGACAGCATTATGGGCAACCTGGGTTCCACTGGGCTGCACTAACATTCCCCCAAACGGGGCCTTGGAGCCCTGCCCTGGCAGATCGCAATGTACAAGCAATGAACCACTTCATAATGGGCTTCTGTTCGGCCACAACACTGAGCACTCGACTTTTGAAATGGGTCTGTATTTGCAAAGAGAAATTGCTGTTGGCTTAACACACAGCAGGAACCCTGGTGCCAGATAAACAAACCTAGGGAAAATCTGATGGCCACTCTTGCTTTCCATCCCCAGGCCTCTGAGAAGAAGCAGTGCCCAAAGGATCCCACACCATCCTGATGGGAGAACAAGGCCAAGTCCACACCAAGGCTCAGAGTTCCAATTTCCTCAAGGATGTCGCCCACATCAAGAGATGCTCTGCAGATGTGAAGAGAGATGACTAAGGGACCTATTTTCTCTGACCTGGGCATAATTCTCCACCTCTCATGTGTGTGAGTGCGTGTATTTGTGTGTGTAGGTGAAGTATAGATAGAGTGGGTATTTCTAGTTACCTAACAGCGGCCAGGGGCCTCCTCTGTGAATAGAAGAATTAGTTTGCTACATGCTCCCAGTGAAAAACTGTGACATGTGAGTGCTTTTCAGGAAAACACTGAATAAAAAGTGATCAGAATCTTCACAGGAAAAATGAAACTATGCCTCCTAAAGAAGCAATGTGAGCACGTACATGATTGCCATTGCCTGGGGTTTGCTGAGCTGTCTCCCCAAGGATTCCTGTCTACAAGATGCAGAAAATGACTCTGTGGGCTTTTCTCTTCCTGTCCGTGACTCCTGGTCCCCGACCAGACAGTCTTGAAGCCACAGCAGATGGTCATGGATGCCACATCTCCACCCCAAATGTCACCCTTCTGGCCTCTGTACCTGGACTTTTTCACTTGCGCCTGTTATAGCTCTTGCCCACAGCTTTGTAAATTACTGTTTATAGATCTGTCTTCACTAAATATCCTTCTCTTGGGCACACATCCTATCTTATTTATATCTGCATCTGTAGCAAAATGAATGGAGGATGGATGGATGGATGGATGGATGAGTAAATGGCTGTATGGACAGATGTGCCAGATTACCCAAGGCATATTATCTTCATCAACCCCACATCTAAATGGAAGAAATGAAATCAACAGTTACTAAACATTATTCTAAACTGAATACTACTCTAGAGAAACTCTATACCTTATTTAACACACAAGTATTACAATGAGTCTCATTTTTGACATTTTATCCATGAAAAATAAGGATCAATAAGGCAAAGCACTGCACTTGGAACCCAAAGCCAATCTGTAGAATGCTCCATATTCAGAATTCAAGTGGATCACACTGTCATCCATCTTTCAGATCATGAGTGCAGCAAACATTTGTTGGGCACCTGCTGGGCACCAGGCATGGTGCCTGCCACACATTGAAGATTCAAAGACAAATCTTAAGTGAATTTGGATAGAGTTCCTGGGTAATTAGAGAGAAACCCAAACCCTCTAGTGACTCAACAGCCAGGAAAAAGATGATCACATCAAAACATAGGCAACCAGGTAGAGACTCATGGCTAGAGCAGAGGGAGGAGGCAGGCAAATTCTCTTTTTAAAAAATAACAATAAAGCTGGGCACAGTGACAAAAACAACCATCTCAGCACCCTAGAAACAGACCCAAAACACTCATCAATCTGAGGAGTATGTACGTTTCAAAGACTGAACTTAGGATAAGAACCATGGGAACGGTGCCCTCTTGCCTAAGACTGCACCCTTCTTGCCTCCCACTCCCAAGCTCTGCTGACAGAAGGTTCTGCAGGACAGGAAACAACAAGAAAACCACCAGAACTGTGGAGTCAAAGAGGCCTCACTCAAGTTGGGATGATTGGTGATGCCCATGTCCAGCTGCACTGTTAGTCAAAGTGATGAACTCAGGAGGGGGAGCTTTGGCATGGTTGGGGCAAGCATATTCCCTGATGAGGCTGAGTGCATAACCAGTGAAGCCCAGGGAGGACCTAATATATCTACACAATTCTGGCTAGACTTAAGTGTATGCTTGCTCAAAGAAAAAGTCTAAGTTCCCACTGGAAAATCAAAGCCAGACTTTTGGCAATGTAAATTTGAATGTGCTTCCCACCCACACACAGACTCATCAGTAGAGAATGGAAGCCTCAAAGGTGTTAGAATTCAATCTCTTCCAAATCATTGGCTGATCTCTAACCTACACAGAAAGAGGGGCTACATCTAGGAAGCAAGACTGAATGTCCAAAGGCCTATGTGTTAGTACCCAGCATGGAGCTACTGGGAAGCAATGGAAACTTTAAGAGGTGGGGCCTAGTGGAAGGTCTTCCAGTTACCAGGGGTGAACCCTTGTAGAGCATAGCAAGATATCAGCAACTTCCTTTCTTTTGCTCCCCAGCCTTGAAGGGAGCAGTTTTGCTACTCCATGCACTCCCACCATGATGTGCTACCCCCACCACAGGCCTAAAGCCAAGGCACCCAGCCAGTCATGGACTAAAACCTGAAACTATCAATCCAAATAAGCTTTTTCTCTTCATAAGTTGATTTATCACAGGTATTTGTTACAGTGACAGAAATCTAACACAAAGATTTAAACAGAAAAACAATTAAAACTACATGAAAACTAAGCCAACACATCAGTGACCACACACCACACACTAGACACACATCACAGATTAGCCCAGACCAGTTTTTAAACAAACTAAATAGAAATGCAGCAGCCCGGGGGCGGTGTTAAGAACTCAAAGTTGCTATAGTATATTATCTAAAGCATCCCTTTTTCAACAAAAAACTATGATACATCCAAAGAAACAGGAAAGTGTAGCCCTAACAGAAACAACTAACAGATAGTCTCTAAGCGTCCAGATGTCGATTCAACAAAGACTTCAAAGTGGTGACCATAAATATGTTCAAAGCCTAAAGAAAAACATGCTTAAGTAATCAGGGGGAAATAACGACAATGAGGAGACAAATAGATAACTTCTCTAAGGAGATAGAAATTAGTTTTTAATCTGAAATAGAAATTCTAGAGTTAGAGAGTAAAAATAACCAAAATGAAAAACTCATTAGAGGAGCTCAACAGAAGATTTATGATGGGAAGAGAAAAAAAAATAATGAACTTGACAGAAAATCAGTGTAAATTTTCATATCTGAAAAACAGAGAGAAAGGATTAAGGTAAAATACAACAGAACTGTAGAAATCCATTCTTTCACATCAAGCATAGCAATCAATATAAATGGGGTAAAAATTATAGAAGAAGAGAAAGAAAGGGAACAGAAAAAATTTTGAAAAATAGCTAAAAACTTTTCAAATTTGATGAACAACATCAACGTACACACATCCAAGAAGCTCCAACCCTAAATGAGCTAAATACAAGAGCCACACTAGATACATCATCTTCAAACTGTTAAAAAGACGAGAGCATTCTGAATACAGCAAGAGAAAAATGATTATCACATAAAAAGGAGCATCAAAGTACTTAACATCTGACTGCTCTTCTGAAGCAAAGGAGGCTCAAAGCCAGCAGAAGGATGTTCAGAGTCCTAAAGAAAACCATGATCAATCAAGACTACTATACCCAGCAAAAGTCTCCTGCAAAAACTGAGCACAAAATAAAGACACTCCCATATAACCAAACTGAGAAAATTTGTTGCTGGCAAATCTGCCTAAAATACAAAAAATACTACAGAATGACATTCAGGATAGAAGGACATGATATCAGAAGATAACCTGAAAACACAGGAAGAAATAGAAAGCATGAGAAATGATAAATATGCAGGTTAACATAAAAGTCTCTAGGCCTTCTCTTGACTTCGTTAAAAGCATAAGATTATATAAAGTGACAATTATGACACTGTATTGCTGAGCTTATAACATACACACAGAGGAGTTTGGGCACATTTCCCAGGAGAGAAACTACTTCATCCAGACCATGTAAGATGTGTGGGGCATTAAAAACTGAAGGCACCAGACAGAGAGAATTGAACAGCTGAAGGTATGGAGACAGGAAAGCTGTACTTCAGAAAAAGTGATGTATATTACTCAAGGACCTGGAGGATAAGGCTAGAAATGTTAGCTATAAGTGACTAAGGAGGCCATGAAAAGCCATGTTAAGGAAATAGAACCATGGTTTTGCCAAAAGTGAAACTAGAAGGCTTTTTGGGTTTTCCTTTTTAATTAAATGAACAGATCTTTCTGAGTACTGACTCAGGAAGGGTCTCCTGGCTGCAAGCAAAGGAATGGTGGGGGCCTGAAGGTAGAATAAGTACCAGATGGACAGGGCTCCTAATGGTTGGGCCTAGAGGAGTGAGGCTGGTGTGAGGAGGACCTCTTAGGAACGCCCTTCTTACTCTGTTCAGGCTGGGAGAGCAAAATGCCACAGACTGGGAAGCTTCTAAACAGAATTTTTTCTCACAGTTCTGGAGGCTGAATGTAGATGATGATGAAGGTGTCAGCATATTTGAAGTCTGGTGAGCTACTTTCTAGTTCACATAGCACCTTCTCACTAATGTCCTCACGTGGTAGAAGGGACAGAGGATCTCTCTATGGTCTCATTTACAAGGGCACTAGCTGCTCTCATGAAGGTTCTATCCTTACGACTTAATCACCAAACAAAGACTCCACCTCCTGATACCACTTACTTTTCAGGTTAGCATTTCAACATTTGAATTTTGGGGGATCACAGTCAGACCACAGCACCACTGTAATGATAGCAGGTAATGTCTATGAAATCCACTTGCTTTTATTCTCTCTCCAGCTCTCTGAGTCCCCATGGGTGAAGTCAGCCAGGTATACACCAACAAGGAAAACCCTACATGGCAGCCAAAAAATCTCATATATATATTAAGAAATTGGAGCATTTAAATCAACCCCGGCAAGGACAAACACTCTACTAAGCACTGAAAGGGAGGCCTGAGAGGCAGGTCTTATTAAATTCATCTCATCAAAGAAGAAACTGAAGAATCTTTGCCTAAGGTGCAGAGAGTACACCAGGGCAGAATTTGAAAACCTCTAAGTGTGATTCAACAGCCATCCACTTCCACAGTTTCAGGCAGTAGTTTCCATAGGCAGGATGCCCACTCTGGAGAGTTCGATTTTAAACACAATGACTCAGCAAAATAAGCAGAGGAGAACTTTTAAGCTACAGTCACCTTTGCCTCCTTTTAGGAATCCCCATCCTCTGCCCCATCCCTGGGACGGTTCCCTAGAAAACAAAATACTTGGACTCAGTACTCCCCACGGGTACTCAAACTGACTGGTGAGCAAACACAGCACCTATCATCTGTCCCATTCCCAGGGAGCCATACCTCTGTGTCCTTGGAGACAAATAGAAAAGCAGCCCACATAGCAGGTAAAACCAAACTCCTGTACAGAAAGCCCTGCTGTCTAAGGAAGGACAGGCACAGCATCTACTGGGGCTTCTGGGGATGTCCGGGCCAGTGCCTGGCCCAGGGCTGTTCCTACAAACTGTGAAAAGTCTCACAGAAGAGAGAGTTGGGAGTCACCAGTCATACAGCAGCACA